CGGTGGCTTAGAACTCACGCCGGGCGCGTGTGCGTGCATGCCCAAGATCCCAAGAGGAGAATGGAGGAGAAGGGATTGCGGTGTGACTATCCCCCATGGGGGGTGATTTCTCGCTTTCTGTCTCTATGTCTCTGTCTGTCTGGCGAGCGCACGCACCCTATAGCAAAAACCTCTCAAAAAAATCATAGAAAAATATTGAAAGAAGAAATTCAGAAACCTAAAGAACACCACCCAAAATCTAACATTTATGTCATCAGAGTCTCAGAAAAAATAGTGTGGTTAGTGGACAAAATAACAGCTAAAAACACCCAAAACTTGGCAAGAGAATAAGCGTGTGGATTCAAGAAGCTCAGTAAATTCCAAAGAGGATATTATCAACCCCCAGAAATCTACTTGGAGACATACTCAAACCACTAAGAATTACAGACAAAGAAAAATATTAAAATACACTAAAGGGAAAAAATATATTACTTGTAGGAAAACAATAATTTTTTTTTGAGAGAGTTTTTTTGCTATAGGGCACGTGCGTTCACCAGACAGACAGAGAGAGACAGAGAGACAGAAAGCGAGAAATCACCCCCCAAGGGGGATGGCCATGCTGCAATCCCTTCTCCTCCATTCTCCTCTCAGGATCTTGGGCACACACGCACATGCGCCTGGCGTGAGTTTAAGCCACCGGGTCCGGGACTTGAACCACGGTCGACTACATGGGAGTCCAGCGACATAGCCATTACGCTCACTGCTGGTCCCAGAAAACAATAATTTGAATGACTGTCGATTTCTCATCAGAAACCACAGAAAGAAAAATAAACCATCTTTAAAGAGCTAAGGAAATTAACTGTCAACCCATATTTCTACATCTAGTGATACATTTTCACGTTCAACAACACTGTTCCCAAGGGCCATGGTCTATAATGCTGAAGGGTAAGAAATCATTGGCTTTAGAGGTCATCACTCGTGTCCCTCCGGTCAGACACAGCCCTGCTGTGGGGCAGAGTTGAATCCACAGAGAGATAAAGACATTCTTATATGAAGAAAAAAACGAGAGAATTTGTCTCCTGAAAGCCTGTCCTAAAACTGCTGACACTTCTTCAGACATAAGTAAAATGGTATTAGAAAGAAATCTGTAACAAGGTAATAACAGGGGAAGAGCAACAGACATGAGGAAGAGATTATTTATTCTTCTTACATTGAATATTGTTAAATATGCTTGGTGATTGAAAGAAAAAATTATGACATTGCCTGATGGAATTTTAAATGTATATAAACATAATAAATAAGACAATTACAACACACACACACACACACACACACACACAAAGAGATAAGTAACTGGAGTCTTGCATTCAAAATAAGTGCTCCATGCTTGATTCTATTCTGCTCCAACAGTTCTAGTCCATTATGGCTGCTACACCAAAATATCATAGACTGAGTGGCTTATAAAAGCAGAAATTCCTTTTTCACAGTTCTTTTTTTAATTATTTATTTAATTTTATTTATTTATTCATTCATTTATTTTCATTTGATCAGACACACGTACATACACACACACACACACACACACACACACACACACAGAGAGAGAGAGAGAGAGAGAGAGAGAGAGATGGAAAGCAAGATAGCAAGCCACCAGGTCCAGGACTTGAACTGTGGTCAGCTATGTGGGAGTGTCCAGCACTTAACCACTCCGCCATCTGCTGGTTCCCCTTTTTCACAGTTCTGTAGGTTGAGAAGTTCAAGATCAAGATGCCATCATCCAGGTTCATACATGGCCTGCTTCTGTGTCCTTGCATAGTGAAAGGGATAAGATACCTTTCTTCAAATTTTTTAAGAATCATTTACTTAATTTTATGTATTATTATTATTATTATTATTCCATTTTGCTATGGGGCACATGCACTCACCAGAGAAAGAGAGAGAGAGAAACAGGAAAGGTGAGAAAGCAAGCT